GGGGGGGGGGGGGGGGGGGGGGGGGGGAGGGAGGGAAGAGTGAGGTGAGTGCTTCTTGTTGCTAGGAAAAACAAGGAAGGGGAAAGGTTAAGGGGTTGAATGGTGGAATGTCATTGTAATGATGGAGAATAGACACATGAAAGGTGACGTGGATGTGAGCAGAGGTAGGAAAAAATAAATTTTACATGATGAAACCGATACAACGAAGGACCTGGAAGGAACCATAAATGTAATGACTTAGTAGATCACTGCACTTAACAATACAACAACAAAGGAAAACATAAAATTAGCTAGCCTTGGGTTCCCATGCAAGCAGTTCTTGGATATTCATGTAGTATTTTATATGTATGTGTATTAGTGTAGGAAATAAAACAAAACCTTCCCAAGGGTTTAAAATATAAAACCCCTTATGGGGTTATTGTCATTTGGAATACATATATACAAGGCATATCAATATCAATAATTAAAAAGAACTGAAAACAAAAGTTTTAGGTGTTGGTCAAGCGCTCTCTACATTAAGCTATATTAGAACAACATCACTACAAAATGCCATCTAACTCCTAGCTCGTACTCCACCTAATCTTGACTTGATCTCATATAAAGTATAATCATCACAGTTCAACATATGAAAAAACAAAGATAAGCTTGTATTACAAAAAACAACATATATTAAAAAGTTGAAAAACTAACTATACTTCACTACATAACATCTCAAAATTCAACACAACAACTTAAATTTCATGTTTCAACACAAGAAACACAATCCAACAACTTATTTACATATTTATACACCTTAGCATCATAGTAAACAACTTAATTAGCATCATTTTGTGTCATCACACATTTCAACTTATGAGATCTTATACAATATAAGTGAACAATTTAAGTGGTTTGATCCTATCAAACCAACAATATAGAATACCTTTCATCTCAAGGTCATAACAACACAAGTTTGGCTTAAAAGGCGTAATCAACTTAAAAATTGTTTATCAAATTTTTCCACTTAAACTAGGAAGGTCCAGTACAATTGTCAATTATAGTAAAACTTGGGTGTGAGTCTATCACAACATTGTTATGCATAAACCAAGTCTCAATGTGAATGGGATTAGCCTGCTGCCTATCCTCTTTATACTAAGCATCCTTATAGTGCTTGGTTAGGGTTTTAGTCTATGACTCCATGCCTTACTCTATTGGCCACTTCTTAATGAGTATATCTTGGCCTTGCCTCCATACTATGATAAACAAGAACTTAGAGGAAACAACTTTTACAAACAACTCTCCACTTCATAAATCAATTCTCTCACTTAAGAGTTTTCATCTTTAGGCTTTTAGAGCACCACAACTCAAATCCTCATTATAAGATCTTTCAACACACAAAATAATTAATTCTTCTCTAGTTTTAAGTTCAAGTCACAACATAGAAAACATGCATCATACATTATCAACTAAATATAACTCAAACAACACATATTTAATACAATATTGTACACCTCAACTCCTCATCACCTTAATATAATTCATCCTTATAAGAAACTTTCAACTTTATTAATATATACCTTCATAAAATCCTTTTTATCTTAAACTCATGATTAAAATATACTAATTTATAATAGATAAAATCAATGTACAACTTAAGTACATGAAAAAATCTCCATTAAAATCAACATAAAAACATAACTTTGTAAATAAGTGTCTCGTCAGGTGAGCATAGTTTCACTTAGTGCCCAACCCTTACCTGAGCTTCTTGCTAAGCGAGCTACTTTTGTCAACGAAATAAGCTCCTATTGGCTCATCTTTGCCTTGCTAGTTGAGTTGGACCCTTTGTGGTCCTCTCGTTGAGAAGCCAAAACTCGTCGAGAGAGTTGGAATCTCTATGAGTCTCTTCATTAGGCAAGCTCCCGTCTTAAGCCACTCACAAAACTATCTTTTCATTGAGTGAAACATGTGTTTCCCAGTGTGCCTTCAAGGTTTTCACCATGAACACTCATTCTTATTGAGTGACTCATAGGATTGTTGAGCAAGAATGCGATCTTAGATAAATTGCCTTCATTTTTTATGGCTCGTCTGGCGAGCATACCATATCCTTGGGCGAAAGTTGTTGCACCTCCTTAGTGCTCACACTTTCTAGCTCCTCCAACCTTCACAACATGCATCCACCACATGCGTCTCACAAAAAAACCTCACAACCACATAATCTACTTCAAATAACATATGCATGCAGTATCTATCAAGGATTCATCAATTCCTTGGGTTGGGATCTACAACCCGAAACCCCCCATTCGTTAACAAAATTTCTCAAACTTAAACTCAACACAAGAATCAACATGCAACAATACAAGAAGAACTAATCTACAAGGTTTGCTTGCCTCAATTGCTTCCAAAAAAGAGAAGAATCAAGGAAGAAAGGAAGAACAAAGGGACTCTTAATGTTCAACATCTCTTTAAGGTTTTGGGCTTTCTTAGCTTGAATATTGGCTTCTACTATTTGATCTCAACTTCAGGGGGAGACAAGGAAGCTCTTGGTGGAATCAAAACGAAGATCAAATTTCTTTGGCTCTAAATCCCTTCTATCTAACTTCTTGCTAAAATTTCTAAGGAAAAGGAACTTATCATGTATTCCTAAAACCTTATATAACTTCTTTCATTCTTGGTCAACTTTGTCCTTAATTCATAAAGATTCATTAACCCTTCTCATAAAAAAACATAAAACACAACACAACAACTTAAGACAGCATAAAACAACATTATATTTTAGAATCATTAATAAAGCATGCAACACAATGTTACAATAAAAGCAACACACAAGCTTCTAAGAGTGTTAAATAAAAATGGAGTGTTGTTGGTAGGTTTAAGGGTGGAGCCAAACACAATCATTGGGTTGAAAGGTGAAATCGTTTCTTGTTTTCTTGGTTCTTCATGCTTTGTCATGTGCGATGAAGGATTTCTTTTAACTATCAAAGAATATTTTGTTTTTGTTGTAGATTGTTAGAGACCAAGTTTGAATGGTTGGGTTGTGGTTCATAATCCATAATCGTTAATGGAATAAGACCATATAAGGCTTAGTAGATGTTTATTTTGATGACAGAGTTCCATGACGTGTTGTTCCAAAATTCTGCAAGTTGAGGGATGTTGAATCATGATGAAGGTGTTGACAAGTTAAAAAATTGAGGTATGCTTAGAGTAAGCGATTGATGATTTCAGTTAGGTAGTTTAATTCTTGGTGATAGGTTGTTGAGAATTGAAATGTGGTGCCCTAGAGAAAAAATAGGTCCTGTTAGAAGTGGTTGAGGATAATGCAGTCCTGGTCGGAAACAAATTTTTTTGGAAGGCTATGAAGGCAAAAAAAATTTAAATAGAGTAGTGACTAAAAAGGTTGACAATAGTAAAATGAGAGGGAAAGGAAAAAAATGAGTGTTTTTGGTGAGACAATCAACAATGAACCAAACAATTGTGAGGCTCACCTATCAAATAATTATCTTTATTGAATAAATTAGCATTCCATTGATGATATTGTTAGAATAGTGGATTAAGCCTAACTCAACCCTACAAAACCGGCTTGTAAGGTAAGGGTTGCTTTCTACTTATATACTATTCAATTGCCTAATCTCTAGTCGATGTGGGACTTGGGTTTTTCCCAATACACCCCCTCACGTCCAGCACTATTGGGCTTGGTACGTGGATAAATGGTGGGTGGCCCTTTTTAATGATCTAGGACCCAAGTCCCACATCGACTAGAGATTAGGCAATTGAATAGTATATAAGTGGAAAGCAACCCTTACCTTACAAGCCGGTTTTGTAGGGTTGAGTTAGGCTTAATCCACTATTCTAACAGATATTTTTTTTGTAGTCCTTTAATACATCTCATGAGTCGAAAGAAAACATCTTTGTATATTTTGTTTAAATTAAAGATTAAAAAGTCTAAAATTTTGCACAAAGAAAGGGTTCATGATTTCTTTACTATTTAACATCAAAGGTCTTTTAGCATAATGCAAATTTAAGTGACTCAATTGTTATATTTGTAGATCAAATATACAAAATTTCATACAATTCTAAAATGATTTTTTAGTTCATTAATATGATATTCAAAATAAATATAAATATCCATTGTTAAATAACATGTCTAGAAAAATTCAAATTGTGTGAAATTTGTACTAACATTCTACATTTGATATTCTAGGTTTTTACATGACAAAAGCTTCATGGTATAAAATTAAGAAAATTCAAAATGAATATCGCGTCATTGGGCATCAGCAACTTTATTTGAGGAATCGTTATAAAGGCAGTGAAGGAGTATCCACATGTGAAGATTGTGCTAGAAGTTATGTTGTGAATGCAACTCGTGCAGAATCATTTGAATCTGAAAATCAAGATCCTAGTCCTAAAAACTTTTGGGGCTCTATCAAAGATTTCTTAGATGCTTTATACATGTTTAGCAGACCATACACAATGATTGCCTCGGTTAAGTCAACATTTTATTTTTTGAAATCAATCTTTAAATAATATTAATCCAATTGTTTTGTTTGAGCCTTTATCTTTAATTTTAGAAAAAAATTGCAATATTGTGAATCTTTTTGAAATATTTTTTTAATTTGTTTGTGTTTATGCAGGTAATAAACATAATTTCCATGTCTCTCCTTGTAGTGGAGAAAGCATCTGATATTTCTCTCACATTTTTTATTGGATTGTTGAAGGTGTTTAAATTTGTTTGATGCTTAAAAATGGCTAATGAATGATGTTTTCCTCCTTACCTAATTTTATTAATATTTGTGAATCATTTTATTTCAGGCTATGGCAATTATCCTTCCTATTACCCTTTATGTTAATGGCTTGAATCAATTAGTTGACATTGAAATAGACAAGGTATGAAACTTTTAACAAGAATGAACAATATGCTAATACGTGATTATATTTGTCTTTTTGGACTTTTGGTTTTGAGTTATGAAAAAGCCCAAATTTATTAAAGCTAGTGTTATCTGAACCAAATCCATCATCGTCTCGATCAAGGTATTGGATGGTAAGTTATTAGTCAAACCAATAGGCCACTAACTAAACCACATGAACCAATTTACATAACATAATATTTAAAAAAATAATATTGAATATTAGAGTATATATATATATATATATATATATATATATATTTGTAGAGAAAAAATAAATACTAAAAGGGAGTTGAATAATATGTATTAAAAACTTGCATGTTTTTCATAGTGAAGTAATAATGCTAGTTAGATGGAGTGCAAAGAGAGGTTAGACGAAACACTAGGCGTTTTTATACTGATTCGTCTTAATCACCGAGACTACGTTCGTTTCTCAATCCAATTAGATTGAATTCCACAATCTTTCAACAAAGATATAAGAATTCTTTCAATAAGCCATTTCTGGCTCAACCCAAATATTATTTTCACAACAAGCCTCTCCAGGCTTAGCAACCAAGTATTCTTTTACAATCAAGTCTCTCCAAGCTCAAAACAAGTATTTTGTTACAAATAAGCTCTCCAGGCTCAACCTTATAACAATGGTTATGAAGATTATAGAAATGTTGTGTTCATTTCTCTTAGACATTATACAACCAATATAAAGCAATGAACTTTTACAAGAAAAAATAAATATTGTACACAAGTATAATTTACAAAGTGTATGTTTCTATACAAGTCTCTTGTATTACGTATATTCTTTTTTTTTCTTTCTTGAGCTTCAAATATTTTTATATAGTATCTTAGAGAAGATGATTGTTGCAATACTTTGAGTCCAATTCACAAGTTTATTTTGTCTATCTTCATCGTTGTTCCTTGCGATGGCAAGTAATCGTTGACTCATTTAATACAAACATCAAATACATTTCACCAAATGATATCCCTTATTTGATCAAGGAAGTTACTTATCATCTTTTCATGCAAAATGGAGCATGTAGAAGCAATGTCCATGCAGTGCAGCTGCAGCGGTGACTTTGTTTATTTTTCTCTGTGATTTCATAGATCTTTGTCATTAGTCTTGATAGAAAGCATGATTTTTCTCTTTAACAAATTTATGAGTTCCGAGATGGCTTTCTTGTTGGATTTGTTAAGGAACGAAGCATTCAAAACAAATTTTGTCATTAGTCTCAATAAATAATGAACATTTAATGTATATGAGACAGACTATATGCTTATCTGATTTACATCATCTTATAGACCATCTAGGTCTTACACTTCGTCTAATAACCTTTTTCAAAGACATTTTCTTTTATAAAAATATTTTTTTTGTTAACATTAGAACTTCAAAACTTGAGGGATCCAATACCATCTTTTGACTTAACAAATTTTTTATCACACTATAAACAAATAATAATAATGGTTGGTTGTAGCGCTCAAGCTCGTGAAGTTCTTGGGTTCAGTCCCTTGAAATTGTTGCTTTTGTATTTTGTGCTTAAAAAAATTTAATAGTAGGTCGTTAAACCCTAAATCCTAAACTCAAACTAGTTTGTTACTAATTAAATCGCATGAATCAGTTTACATAACAATATTTAAAAGTATAATAATGAATAGTAGTATAATATATATATATATATATATATATATATATGTCTAGAAATAATTATAAAATTAGGGTTCTTCCTCTACCCAATTTCCTAATGTAACTCTACATATAAATAATTTCCTTTTCCCCCGCACCTGGATAAGAAGAAGCTGAATCTAGATATGTAGAAGCTGAATCTACACTTGATCTGGTTGATCTCCCTCGCTGGGTTCCCCTCGGTCTGAAGCAGAAAGTAGAGGAAAGTAGAGAGAGAGCAGAAGAAAAGAAATCAGAAATGAGAGGTGTGCTTTTTGGGAGTGGCAAACAACACTATATATAGGCATTATGCGCCGGAACGGCCCGTTCCAAATCTGGAACGGCCCATTCTGGACCCTTAAACCATGGCTAAAAATCACATCCAGAACGGCCCGTTCCAAAACCAGAACGGCCCGTTCTAGTGTGCATTAATTACACCCAACGACCATAATTTTGGGAACGCCTCGTTCCAAGCCCATTCATATTTAGGGTTAATGGCATATTTAATAGTCCGGAACGGCCCGTTCCATCTTGAGAACGGCCTGTTCTGGGCTATTAACTCACATTCAATTTGGTAGTTTGGAACGGCCCGTTCCAATTCCGGAACAGCCCGTTCCAAGCTACTAAATCACCCCTATCTCTTTTATAAAATTACCAAAATACCCTTAATTAAAATAAATAATTAAAAAGTGAAATAAAAACTGGGGTGTTACACCAACATGGTAGAAGCTCTTCACACAAGAGGGGAGTTTTGGAGTTGAGTACTCAAGATGCAATGTTAGCTCAAAACAAGATACTCTCCCAACAAATTGAAGCTTTGAATCAATAGATGGCCAAGCTACCTCAACAACTTCAAGCTATGCAAACTAATGCCCCTCCTATGCAACAAGTTTTATCGTGTGATTTTTGTGGAGGTGACCACCCTAATGGTTATTGTGCCGAATCATCTAATTCCCAAGGTGAAGAAGTGAATTATATGGGAAAGCAAGGGCGGCAAAATTTCTCTCAACACCCGTATCTGCAAAATTCAAATCAGGGGTGGAGAAATAACTATGGTGGAAACAAACAAGATATGAATGCTTCATCAAGTAGCAAGCCTCCACATCAACACCAACACCCACCTTTATATGAGAGAACCACCAAGTTGGAAGACACACTGCAAAAATTCATGCAATTGTCTATGTCCAACCAAAAGAACATTGATGCTTCAATTAAAAATCTGGAGATACAAGTGGGGCAAATAGCAAAGCAGCTAGCAGAGCAGCAAAAAGGTTCTTTCTCAGCCAACACCGAGCAAAGCCCGAAGGGGCACTTGAATGTAGTATCTACAAGGAGTGGTCGGGAATTTGTGGTGAAGGAGAGTGAGAAGAAGAATGAGAGCGAAGAAAAAAATGACATGGGTGTAGAAGATGATGCTAGTGTTGATGAGGAGATCATCTTAGAGGGCCCAAGAGTATGGAGAAGGAGTGAAGGAAGTGAGTCGGTTGAAGGAAATAAAATGAAAAATGAAAATGACAAAAAGAGTGAGAAAGAGAAAGAAATTGAAAAAGAAAAAGAAGGAGTTAGTAGAGAGAAAAAGAAAACATCCATGGAGGATGGGAGTATTGTGAAGGTGCCACCCACCAAGAGCTTACCATATCCTCATGCACCTTCAAGAAGAGATAAGGAGAGGTAATATGCTCGGTTCTTAGAGATTTTCAAGACCTTGCAGATTAACATTTCGTTCTCCGAGGCATTAGAACAAATTCCTACCTTTGCCAAGTTCATGAAGGAGCTCCTCACCAAAAAGAGGAATACTTTGAAGAGGAGACCATTACATTGGAGGCGGGGTGTAGTGCTATTATTCAGAAGATGTTGCCAACTAAATCCAAGGACCCTGGTAGTTTCACTCTTCCGGTCACTATTGGAAGTTTAGCTATCGGGAAGGCTTTACTTGATTTAGGGGCTAGCATCAATCTTATGCCCTTATCTATGCTTCAGAGGATTGGTGATTTGGAGGTGAAGCCCACTCGCATGACTTTGTAGTTGGCTGATCGATCTGTAAAGTATCCTCATGGCGTAGGGAGGATGTTCTGGTGAAGGTGGACCGTTTCTTGTTTCCCGTTGATTTTGTGGTGATGGAAATAGATGAGGACATTGATGTACCTCTCATTCTTGGTCGACCATTAATATATATATATATATATATATATATATATATATGTCTGTATGTATATATTATTTTCATCACACTATAAACAAATAATAATAATGGTTATTGTAGTGCCCAAGTATGGGAAGTTCTTGGGTTCGATCCCTTAAAATTGCATGTTTTAGTATTTTGTGCTTAAAAAAATTAAAAAAAACATGACACTTCAAAGGAGAGATTTAGATCAACACTTTGGGCATTAGGCCTATGTGAGCTTGGTTGGTTCGATTGGCATTGGATTCACTAATTTAATTATTTTTTTTTGTTGTTTTGATGATGTCATCACCAAGCTAACCACATATATAATCCAACTATTAAATCCACGTGTTCACATTCCTAATTGGTCCGGTCTAAGTGAAAAGTCTACGTTGAGTTTAATAACACTGGTTTACACTTTGAATTGGCCAATGTAACTTAGTTTTGCATATTAGTTAAAACTACTTTTTTGAATAGCACATATTTTAAGTTTAAATAGGAGAAAAATTATTCAAGAATTTCCCAATAAAATTTGATCCAACTTAGGGAGTGATCTGTCCTATTGCACCCATGTGTATTTGTGCCCACATGCTGATGGAAGTCTCTTTGGAAAAACTAGATTGATGTAGTTCCTCCTCTAAGATCCTTGCACAGATCTTTTCTTTCTTGGTCTCCTCTTAGCTTTTCCAAGGCTTCCAAAGGTGTTAAAAGCCTTCTTCAAACACACATGGAAGGGGTAAGAGTCCCCCTTGGTTGATGCCACACTTAAGAGAGGAGATAAGAGAAATGGAACAAGTTTCAAGGAGAGAAACAAGCTTTGAGAGAGAAAATTAGGAAAAATGCATATAATTCACATAAAACTCAAAGTAATTTAAGCCAATACAAGGAAATCCTATATATAAGAGTTTGGTTGGCTTATGGTGCAAGCTAGACTAACCATGATCAAGTGTAACCATGGTTAGCTATCTTGTACTTAAGCTAACCAACCCTAGTTAACTTTCTACAAGTCTAGTTAGTTGTCTAGAAGCTTATGGAGTAAGCTAAGCTAATATTAGTTTTAAAATAACCTAGGTTAATTTAAGTTAACTCCAACTACCTAACCTAATTATTACAACTACTAGATAATAATTACTTTAACTAGTTTGTTGAAATGTCACTATCAAGGCCATATAACTTATTTAACATGATTGGATGGCTTGTTCATTGAGCTTGGACATCCAAACCACTTTCCTAGGCAAGTGGACGTCCAACATTAATGGGCTAGAAAAATGTTTGGGCCCTCCAAGCCTAAATAAGTCTCTGGTCGAGGCTAGTTACACCTCCCATAAACTACTAATTACACCCTTAAAGAAAAATGCAAGGATAAAAATTTCTATACTACTTGATCAAAATACATGGTCAAAAATATCCTACACAATCACTACTATGAAGAGAAAAAATGTAAAACAATCAATAAGAGTCCTTAAGGTAGGATAGGCCTCCAAATGTAGTGTACCTTACAAAATAAGGGTAAATGCCTTACAATTCTTCTAAACTTTATCATTCTTCACCCTTCTTGGTTCTTTTTCTTCCAAAGGGATCCTTGGGAAGTAGATTTTCATCACAAGCACTCCAACATGAGTTACTATGTATCAACTTGTCATGAGTTTTTCCTTTTAAATGGGTTTCAATACTTATGCATTATAAACTCATCATTATAGACATTGAAATTCATCATTTTCAACTTATTTTTTTTAAAAAAATTTAGAATTTAAAATCGACATAATATTACAAATAAATATTATTTTATACAATATAATTACTTTACATAGTTTATCAAGAATCCCAAAAAAAATTGTGGAATATGGTCAAGAAAACAAGAAATTTTTATTAGTTACTCTCTTAATTTGTTGAGAAAATTTATTGATTTGTATTGCATGTTGTGTTAATTGCAGATAAACAAGTCATATCTTCCATTGCCATCAAGGGGGTATTCTTTTGCAATGGGTGCCTTTATTGTTACATTAAGTTTGATTATGGTATTACATATAAAATTGTTTTTTTTTTCAAAATTTTTGATGCACTGCATTTCTTGTATTTTATTTTCCTCATCATTAATGTAATTTCTTTTTCTATTAATTTTAAGGGCACAATCAATTCATTTATTATTGACCAAAATTACTTAGTAATAATTTGGACATGTAAATATGAATATCTATTTACACAATTATTTATTTTAATATAGAAAATAATAGAAACATAAAAAAATTGTCATAACACAATAAGGTTTCTTTACTTATGTATATGCTTTAGTGATATAAAATTTTGTCATAATACATCTGCTATAATTTTATTTAAATATTTTTCCATTAGTTTATGGAATTGCCTTTGTTTAGCAATCATTTTCTTTTCTCTAAAATGTTGGTCACATATTTAAGAGTCTACACTCTTTTAGAATTGTCTAATGTAATAGTTATCAAACTATTTGTTATATTTAAATTGAATCCTATCCAAAACATATTTAATCAAAATAATAAATTTCTTATTTATTGAAATTCTTATAATGGAGTTTTAAGTTACTACTTTGGTTACACATGGTTTTAATGTCCTAGTGATTGAACTATATATAACACAACATAATTTAACAATAGTGAATAATAATGAATAGAATATGATTTTTGGACTAATTTTTCCATTAATATAGTTCATTGACAAGGTTTAGGAAGACTTATTGTTTTATTCTCTTTTACAGAGTTTTGGGCTTGGATGGATTGCAGGTTCACCACCATTGTTTTGGATTATTTCCTCCCATTTTATTTTAGGAACTGCTTATTCAATCAACGTGAGTTCATTTAAATGAAATTTCAACTTCATTTTTCCATTCATATTATTTAAGGCATGATTTTTGGGATAATTTTACAAGTATTTATTTCAATATCAATAAGAGTTAGTGTTGTGCTTTATTAGAATTTAATGAAAATCATGTCGTAACTCTCTAGTCAAAATACTAGGCAATAAATGTTATACAATATATAAATTTACTCTTAAGTTTCCTTTTAGGAAGGAAATTGTGTGTATTAGAGGAAGGGTTTAAGAATTAAAAGCATGTGACACTAAACTTTTCAATAATTTAAATTTTAGCTTGAAAACCTCTATTTTGAAACTTTATTTAAATATGACTACATTAATTTGTATCTTTGAAAATTTTCAGTTGCCTCTATTGAGATGGAAGAGATCTTCAATGCTTACAACCTTGTACATTATCTTTGACAAAGGAATATTGTTTCAACTTGCATTGTTTCTTCACATGCAGGTGATTTTGCTTATACATTAGCTTTTCAGCATACAATTTCAACAATAAACTTGTATACAAGATTTTGGATTGCATTAGGAGAATTCATGATAAATTATTAGAATGTAAGTTATTCTTGAATTTTAGTCTTTTGGATAATAAAGTAGTAGTTTACACTTTAAATAACATATTGTCAAGTAACTACATCTTTGTTTCTTGTATAACAAAACAATTTTTCTACGAATTCAAATACTTTTGGTTGCTAATGTGTGTAATGTGCAGATGTATGTGTTCAAGAGGCCAATTATGTTTCCAAGGGCATTGATTTTTGCTATAGTATTCATGAGCTTCTTCTCTATAGTTATAGCATTGTTCAAGGTAAAAAGATAAAAAACTTATATTTTCTTAAAATATGCATATGTACTAGATGCAAAAGTAAAATTTACCTTTTGTTGACTTTCATAAAGGATATACCTGACATTGAAGGAGATGAAAAATTTGGCATTCAAACTTTGTCAGTGCGTTTGGGTCAGAAAAATGTATGTTCTTCTCATATATCATCTTAAAGAACCTTGCTTGTGTCCATGTCTATCTAGGGTTTTTCTTTAAAAATGATTTTTTCCAGGTATTTTGGATTTGTGTTTCACTTCTTGAAATGGCTTATGGAATTGCTATTCTAATGGGAGCAACATCTTCCTATCTATGGAGCAAATTAATCACGGTGATGTGTTAACTTGAAAATTTTATTCCATAGTTATAGTTTTTCAAGATTATTTATTGTGTCTTATCAATTTATATAAGTTGTGTTTAAAAGATTTGCATGAGATTTCAATTGTGCTTAATAGAATAATGTGTTTCTAGGAATTGAATTTATATGCTTTATTTTCATCTCATGTTACTTTTTGTTCAAGATAATGGTTTAAAAATTATCAAATTTTAGCAACTGTTTTCCTTCACTAATTCACATATATAACATGTATCAAGTGTACTATAATAAGAAAATTTCTCTCTTCAAAAGATAATCTTTATTGCATAGAATATTTTGCTTTTATAGCTATATATGGTCTTAATATATTAGTATCAAAATTGATTGTTTTCAGGTGATATTATTTGAGTAAAAGCCTAAGATGCTCCATAAATTTTTAAATTATATTATATCAATACAAATAGGAACATGTTTAATACTTTCAACAAAGTTTGAAGTTTATTCTCATTAATGTGTTAGGGTTTGGGACATATTCTTCTAGCATCAATCCTTTGGTACCATGCCAAGTCTGTAGATATCAAAAGTAAAGCAGCCACACAATCCTTCTATATGTTTATTTGGAAGGTAATAATTAACATTATAAAAGTTATTTATCATTATGAGCAACTAGTTTTTAAAACAAATACATATAACTTATAAGCTTAGTATGAACTTTATGCAACGATTGAAATGAACTAATTACTTTTGCCTTATGTTAGGAATCAATAATTATTTAATATCTATAGTTAAATTAGCTATGAATCTTATTACTATATTCAACATTTTGGTTCTTTATCCATGCATCTATTTAGCCTCTTGTCCCTCAATATTTAAGAATCTTCCAAGTTATTTCATGCTATTATTTAGACAAAAAAATACAATTAATATTTTTTATTTTGTAATTATTATATAATTTTCTAACATACTCACTTATCTCTCATATTAATTTGATTTTTCCTTACTTATATACTTCTTTGATATTTTAAAATGACCATCCAAATTGGATAACTTTTTCTTCTTCTAAAACTTCAAACAAATTGAGTCAAAAAGATAACTTGCATGTTATTGAATGGCAAGATGTGAAGGAAAAATGAGGAAACAACATATTTATATATCAGGAAATTACACTTTTTTTCTTGGGAAATTTACTTATTCCAAGAATAACTCTTTGATGTGAATATTGGTAGAGTTACTTCTTTCAATAGCTTGTAATTTACTTGAAATTTCTACAAACTTATTATTAAATTAAAAGTTCTTAATGAATAAATCAAGTATAAAATATTTTTTAAAATAAAAAACTATTTGATACTTCATTAAATTAATTCAAATTAATGTACAAAGCATCATATACGTTAATTTTAATCTATATAATGAAACATTATATAATTTTCATAATTTGCAAAAATTTGATGAATTGATCAATTCATTAAGAACTTTTAATTTAATGATTGAATTATTGAAATTGAATATAGATTATGATATATTAAGTATACTAATTGTAATGAGTGTTATCCTTAAGTAAGTGGATGAATTAATAATATTTTGAATTTCATAATTATTCCCAATTTTCTAACATACTCATTTTTCTTTCATATTAATTTGATTTTTTTTTTGTTTTATTCTTCTTTGATATTCTTAAATGACAATCAAAATGTCATCCCTTTTATCTTCTTCTAAACTTAAAAAAAAAATTGGTCAAAGAGAGTACCTATATGCTATTGAGTGGCAAGATGTGAAGAAAAAAAATGGGAAAACAACCTTTATATATTGGGAAATTATACCTTTTTCTTTGTGATGCTTCAATTATATTTCTTTAATTTATTTTTATGTAAATGAATCTAAAATGGTAATTAACTAGTAGTGCATATGAACGAGCTTCAAAAGTTTTTTTTTTATATTAAATTTTCTATACGAATTTTAGTGTTATCAGTAACTAATTTTGAATATCTTACTATTGATTTTAAGACTTTAGGAAATGAAATTTATTTTTTATCTTTAGTATAGAATTGGCTTTGGAAGTTACCTCAAAATATATTCATCACATGTAATAAAGTTCTAAAACTAATTATAGGAATTCAAAATTAACTAATGACAATAATAAGAATTAAAAGAGAGGAAAAAAACTACATCTTAAAGGCTTGTTCACATTAAATTGGAATATTTTTCAAGAGAAAATTTTAGCTAATGACAAAAACACAATAATAATTAAGAGAGAAAAACATTACACTTATGAGCTATAATGAAATTTATTTTGGTAGAGAAAATCAACTCATTTCCTTTAGACGAATTCCACTTCTTGTAGTTTAGTGGTGCCAATTTATCCAAAGGCTTCAAATCTTGGTTCATTGTGACACCCTTACTACCCCAACACATATATATTGTAACAATGTAAATAAACTAAAGAATAAAATTTTCAATGTTGGTAAAAGGGTTCACATAAAACCTTCATAATTGTTCCTCAATATTCAAGATAATTGAAAATAAACTTGAAAAATAAAACATAATAGTTTAAAATTTATTTTTCAAAGAAAGATACAACTCCAACTAAATATTTATATCCTAGGATCCTCTGCCCCGATGTCACACTATCTGAGCACACCCACAACTCAACTGTTGGCATTCTAGATGTCACTCATAGCCGGATCTTCCTCACCTAAAACATCCACAAATTATACGGTGAGAAAAGAAAAACATCTATATGTAAAGAACAAAAGAAAAAATACAACATAATCTTATCATAATTCATCAATTAATGAAGTCTTTACAAGCATATCCATACATTCTAATTCTATCAATCATGCATCATATTCACACCACAATTTCACAATCATACCAATCTATCACAAATCTTGCAATTAACACTATGCCAATGGTCACGCCACCTCAAGGTCGTGCCACTCTAGACATAAGTGATACATATTAATTGCCTCAATCATCCCACACTATGCCAAGGGTACGGCATCCCTGTAGCATCACTTACCTAGGGTCGTCTCATCCCTGATCATATGTGTGAGGAACCATAATCACATCACAATCACAATCATCACAAATCTAACAATTAACACTATGCCAATGGTCACGCCACCTCAAGGTCGTGCCACTCTAGACATAAGTGATACGTGTTAATTGCCTCACTCATCCCACACTATGCTAGGGGCACGCCATTCCTGTAGCATCACTTACCTAGGGTCGTCTCATCCCTGATCATATGTGTGAGGAACCATAATCACATCACAATCACAATCATCACAAATCTTACAACTAACGCTATGCCAATGGTCACGCCACCTCAAGGTCGTGCCACTCTAGACATAAGTGATACGTGTTAATTGCCTCACTCATCCCACACTATGCTAGGGGCACGCCATTCCTGTAGCATCACTTACCTAGGGTCGTCTCATCCCTGGTCATATGTGTGACAAACCACAATCATATCACATCAACATACTCACATCATGTTATCAATTCAATATTAAAACAGTAGATATAATGTATACATTTGTACGAAGGCAGCACACCACATTCCATATCTAGATAATCAATTTTACCAAATAATGTAACAATAATATTTATAAATTAATATAAAACCTAATAGAATCATCAATTTAGTAGAATCTTAACTCAAATAGTAAAAACATATAGAATCTCATAATACCAATAATTCTCCAAACAGAAATAATTATAAAATTATTAAAAATTCCACAGGAACTCTTCTCCACCCATTTGGTCTCCTCCTTTAGGCTCCCCTCGGTCTTCAGGAAGAGAGTGTAGAAGAAAAGAAGTTAGAAATGAAAAGTGTGCTTTTTGGGAGTGCCAGAATGCTCTATTTATAGGCATCAGGAGTGGCCAAAATGACCCGTTTCAAATCCAGAACGACCCGTTCTAGACTCTTCGTCATGTGTAAAATTTCACATCTAGAACGGCCCGTTCTAAAACTAGAACGGCCCCTTCTGGGGTTACATTTTAACCCATAGCGGCCATGTTTGGAACGACCCGTTCTCAACTTTGGAACGACCCGTTCTCAAGCCATTTTGGTGGTTTGGAACGTCCCGTTCCAGTTTGGGAACGGCCCGTTCTAGGCTACCAAAAATAGGTCATTTTAGTAGTTTGGAATAGCCCGTTCCAGTTTGGGAACGACCCATTCTGGGCTACTAAATCACCCATATTGGGCTTTTAGACCTTCGTACAAGCTGTGAAAATCGGGCTGTTACATTCATGTTATTTAAATGACAAAAAAACTAATGATAAGGATGTTAGCTAGCTTCTTCAGAAACCACAACACTCAAGCAAAATAACTTTATTCACAAATTGAGAGTTGCTGATTAAAAAAATACTTAATGAGTAGTTGCTCTTTAGAATAAAAAATGATTGGTGAACACTAAGAAACTTGTTACATCTAATGAGACAAATAAAAGAAAAAAGTTTAAATATGATAAGTAATATGATGTGATAGAAGAGCGAGGTAGAAAAGAAATAATTATTTTAAATAAGGTGCTTAGAGTGAAGAGATGTCTACTAATTATTACTCATAAAATTTTAATCATTAAAATAAAATATGTGAACTTGTGAGCTTCATAAATAAGATAACAATTTTAATAGTGAAATTTTATAGTGTTGAAAAACTCAAACTAAATCTAGGTTAGACCTTTGGATTCCTTCATATATTTGTTTTCAAATGTGTTTGTTTGAAATGTGTTCGGTTTCACTATTTATAATTAAAGAAAATATTATTTTTGGAGAATTTAAAATTAATATAATTAATCACTAGGAAAACATGCACTTCGCTTATGCATATTAATTAGAGCATGCGCTCTTAGCTCATTTACTGATGCTTTGTTTAATTTGTTTTCTCTTCTACCAGCTATTGTACGTGGAATACTTCATTATACCTTTTGTTAGATAAACATGTAATGACATTTTTTTTATTTAAATATGGTGCTCCTATTGTCATGTATGGACTGTTAGTTAAAAGGAATAATTGTAAATAAAGAATTATGTATTTTGGATATTTTTTATATTAGCAAAAATAAATTGTTTTATTTATATTTTATATGCACAAGGGTGCCATGTGTTTAGCATATATATATTGTAAACAAGATTTCACACTACCTTCCTCCTTACTACAATAAATTTAATCACTTTCTAGTCCACATCTAGGAGTGATGATGAACTAAACCAATTCAGAAATAGTTGGAAGCTCAATTCAGTAATTAGGTCGTTAAATTTGGTTCATAAACAAAAATGAGCTTAATTTGAGTTGAAAATTAAACTTGGAAAATAAATGAGTCAAACTTGAGTTGTGTATACTTTAACTTTTTGGTTCATGGATCATCTTGATGTGTTTAGGTATATATATATATATATATATATATAAAGGATTTGAAAATTTGACTTTTTGTTCATATGATTTGAGCTATAAAATTAAGCACAATTGTTAACGAACTTGAATTAAATCAGGTTTTAGTTGAAAAAAATGTTTATGTTGAATCTAAGTCAAGCTTTGAGTTGAACCAAATATTACCGATTCTAGTCAAGTTGAATCAAGCTCGGCTAAGTTTGACTTATTTTCAATCCTATTCACATCAAATAATTCCCAATCTATTAATTTACCTAAGCTACCTCTTTTATAAAGTCTATCCTTAAATGAGAAAGAGATACATGACGATTAACTAATATGTCAGTACATCCACATAACCAAACATTTGGTACATGTTAAGGACTGTTAACATTAGTATGCTAACATATTTAATAAATATGGTCAACTAAGTTGCATTTTAGCTATAAAAAAATGTGTCATCCATTTTATTCAATCTTTGTTGATTTGATAGGAACCAATGCCCCTTAAGTGCCAATGTACATCAAACAATAATCAGAAAAAAGATCACCTTAATAGAAAATCAAAAATTGAATCTTGAGTTTAAGTCCACTATAAGGATTTTAAGAACAATAAAGGTTCCATGGATCACCTAAAGAAGAGTGAAAAAAAACCTTCCTACTTAGAAGTTAACTAGGGTTGTTCACGGATCACCTTATATAAGGCTTTCATACACTATTTGTACTTTAAGTGTATATCACTATGAATTGGTGCCTAGCTAGATTTTAGATAAAATTAGGTACAATTTTCATGAACTTGTCTTCTTTGGCTTGAAGTTTTTATTTTATAAGTTCTTTCACATATTCAATTGATTTGTATTAAGCTCATGTTTGGATAAACTTATTCAAAAATACTTTAAGAAGAAAAAGAATAGAAAGGTAAAATTAAATAAGTTTTTTCATAAACTAAAATTAATTTATGTATGACTTAAAAATGTGTTTGAAGAAACTAATATCAAAGAGTTTCAAAAAATAAGCTTGTGCACAAACAAATTTTAGATCATGGAGAAACTTCTTTTATTTTTCCTTCTTATTTTTTTTTTCCTAAAAGTGTTTTTGAACAAGTTTATGAAAACAACCCTAAGTAAAAAACACAACACTTTATGTATTTGTTACTTATTGTTGTGCTTTGCTTTTATACTTCCAATGTTTTGATATACACGTTTTGTGTTGATGTAGAGTAAATCAAAACTAGTAGTGTTAGTTACATGTAGATAATAGGAAAATAATAATAGAACTAATATAAACTTTTTCTAAACTCAATTATAAGTATATTTTTAAACTAACTTATGCATTAATTAAATAAGTTAGTTAATATAATTTAATTTTGTGAATTTTAATTAAAAATAATTACTTTTATTATACTATCCTTTAGTAAAACTTGATATTAAGAATAAAAAGTCATTGAAAATAGAATCTCAATTAAATCAAGAGTATTTTAGATGTGATAACATTAAATGTGGTATAATATTTGCTTATATTTAAGTCCACCATCCATAAGATATTTCTTGTTTATATTTGAGTCTAAAGAGAATATGTAAAATACAACATCATGATAAAATAAGGTAGGACTTATGTATTTAAACTACATTAAATCATTCAAATCCATGAACGAGCATCATGAAACTCATTGATTTATTTATAGTGTACGCTTCCATGATGCATTTATGAATGATCTCCAAAGTCAAAGTCACCATCAACACCACCCCTGTCGCCTTTAATTCCTCCCCTAATGCCACCACCAATTCACCTCCAACTCCTCCTTTGATGCCACCATCAATAACTCTATGTCCTATAACACTAGCACCTCCAACTTTGCCAGCACCTTTATTAATGTCACGACCATATTCACTTCCAAACCCTATAGCAACACCATTTCCAACTCCACCAAGTCCTCCTTTAAAATCAACTTCTCCTCTAATGTTTGCTTTGTTGTCTCCACTAACACCCCATTTGATACCACCACTAACTCTTCCACCAATACCACTACAATTCCCATCTATTATGACACCGCCACCTCCAACTCCTCTCACAGTTCCACCTCTAATCCTTATAGCAGCACCGCCTCCAACTCCACCTTTAATGTTACTATAGTTGTAACATCCCGATTTTCACAAATTATATGAAAGCTCAAAGCCTAATATTTTGAATTTTAGTAACCTAGAACAGGTCGTTCCCAAACTGGAATGGGCCATTCCAAACTACTAAAAGGGCCTATAAACCCTAGTTGGGAACGAGTTGTTACCAATTGGTAAGGGGCGTTCCAAACCACTAAAATGGCCTATAACCCTGGTTAGGAATGAGCTGTTCTGGTTTAAGAACGGGTTGTTCCAAACATGGCCGTTATGAGTTAAACTCAACTCCAGAACGGGCCGTTCTTGTTTAAGAACGGGTCATTTCAGATGCAAATTTAGCACATGATGAAAGGATCCAGAACAGGCCGTTCTGGATCTGAAACGGGCCGTTCTGGATCTGAAATGGGCTATTCAGGCCACTTCTAACATCTATAAATAGCCGACGCTGGCACTACTCGCAGACACACTCTTTGAAGACCAAGGAGAACCAAGAGAAGGAGATCAACCAGATTTTTCTCTAGCTTCATCTTCTGCTTGCCCTTGTAAAGGGGGAGTGAGAAACCTCACTCGGGAGTGTGCGAATAATTGTTGGGTAGCAGGATTGGCCCCTAATACCTTGCTTGAGGTATGCCTATAGGAACAGGCACCGTATGAAAGTTTTTTGTTTTGCTTTCTGATTATTCTATTGTGTTCCTTGTTGGATGTGATGTATGAATATGTGTTTAATTTCAAAAGTAGACAAGTTTTGATATGAATTAGAGTGCTCTGTGAGTTCTTATGGGAAACCCTATGAAGTAAAATTAGGAATATGATCTTTGGATGATTTTGAGGCATTATATGTAAAATTGATGATGGATTCATGTTTTAGATAACTTCTTGGTATGATTTATGTCCTATTTTGATGTATATGACTATGAGAAGTTCCTTATGTGACACCCTTACTTCCCCAACACATATATAAAAAAAATCTTGTAAATAAACTAAAGAATAAAATATTCAATGTTGGTAAAAAGGGTTCACATAAAACCTTCATAAATAACCAAAATAATTAAAAATAAAATTTAGAAAGTAAAACTTGAGAGTTTACAAATTATTTTTAAAAATAATAAATACAACTCTAAATCCATATAAAAATTCCATATCCTAGAATTTTCTGCCCCGATGTCACAATATCAGAGCACACCCGCAACTCAACAGCTGACATTCTAGATGTCACTCAAAGCCGGATCTTCCTCACCTAAAACATCCACAAATAGTACGGTGAGAAAAGAAAACATTTATATATAAAGCACACAAGGAAATCCACAACATCAATTCATCATAACTTGAAATGTTATTTACAAGCATTTATATATATCATAATTTATCAATCATTCATCATTTTCACATCTCAATTCACAATTACATCAATCGATCACAATCCACATAAATCTTACAATTAACACTATGTGAAGGTCACGCCACAACTGACACAAGTGATACAGGTTAATTGCCTCACTCATCCCATACCATGCTAGGGGCACGGTCGTCCTTGTAGCATCACTTACCCAAGGTTCGTCTCATCTAGGGATGACAATGGGGCCTCATGGGGGCAGGTAATAGTAAATTCGCCCTCGCCCCGCTAGATGAAAATTGGCCCCATACCCACCCCATATCCATGCGGGTATCCATTAAGTGGGTATTCATGAATTTCTTGAATACCCACGGATATCCATGGATATTTATAAATTTTTTAAAAAATTAAAAAAATTATATTACAAATAATTTTAAGTTTATATTTAATGTCATTGAAATATTAAAAATGAAAATTCAATGTTAATTTTAAACTTGTATTTAACGTTAATTTTGTTAAAATAATAATAAAAATGTAAGATAATTAATAACTTAAAATACATCAATCTCACAAGTAAGATAAAGTCTCATCACAAAGCTACAATAATTCAATCTCATAATTCCAAACAAAAGTAAACAACTTAAAATACATAAATTTTATTGGTCCAATCAAAGCTAGAAAATTAATCAAATTACATCCAACATAATTCTATAACATGCTTAATACATGTTGGTAACTTCATCAACCTCACTTTTGTAAGAAAATAAGATGAGAGAGTGTAGTTTTAGGATTATGTGGTACAAGGATAATTAGGATATTTAAGAAATATTATTAAACGGGTACCCACGGGTATGAATATCATCATACCCGCCCCCGCCCCATTTATAAGCGGGTAAAAAATTATCCGTCCCCATTATCCACGGGTACCCAATTAGCCTATCCATTTATTATCCGTAACGGATTTTACCCGCAGATACCCGCAGGTGCGGGTATTTTTGCCATCCCTGGTCATTAGTATGAGGAACCACAATCACATTACAATCCACACAAGTCTTGCAATTAACCCTATGCCAGGGTTGCCATATTTGACATAAGTGATGCGTGTTAATTGCCTCACTCATCCCACACCATGCCAGGGGCACGCTAGTTCTTGAAGCATGACTACTCAAGGTTCGTCTCATCCCTGGTCATTAGTGTGAGGAACCACAATCACAATCATATTTACATCCATATAACATCTCATCTCATAGCTCAATTCTATATCACATACACAATTCCATATCACATACACAATAGATAAGTCCAACAAAATAAGGGTTTACACACCCCTCAAGCAATTCACATCTAGATCATCAATTCTTATCAAGTAACATAACAATAACATTCATAAATTAATATAATAATCAATGGAATTATCAATTTAATATAATTTTAACATAAATAGTAAAACCCCCAATTATTCCAAAACCTAACTCACAGACACTTTTCTATAATTTCGTTCTCTCTCCCAGAGCATTATTTTTACAAATTACTTATAATCCTAAGGGACTTTTCCTCTACCCAATTCCCTCATGTAACTCTACATATAAATAATTCCCTTTTCCCCCGTACCTAGATAAATAGCAGTTGAAACTAAAATAGAGATCTCTTTGTCTCCTCCTCTAAGTGCCCCTCAATCTTCAGAGAGTGTAGAAGGGAAAGAAGAGAGTGTAGAAGAAAGAAGTCAGAACTGAAAAATATGATTTTAGGAGTGCCAGAGCACTCAATTTATAGGCATCAGGATTCGCGGAACGGCCCGTTTCAAATTCGGAACGGCCCGTTCTGAAATCTCACGTCATGTGTAAAATTCACATCCATAACGGTGTTAAGTCTCAATTACACTTCTGTTTGGACAAGACTTATTGAACAATTTCACTCATCCTTTGCACCATTGCAAGATAATTGTTTTCTTTTTGATTCATTTTTTGTGCAGATATAGCTAACCCAGAATTTAGCTAACAATACCCTAATACACCTCATTTTTGTGCAGGTATTGAGCTAGAGAATTGAGGATAGAAGATCCATAGGATTGGAAATCTAAGGAGCTAAGGAGCAGAGAAGAGTGACTGTGCCGGGCGCAAGACTACCCGCACCGGGCGTGAGAAAAATAGAGTGCCACACCTCTGCAAGTCACACCTGGGTCGGGCGCAAGACTACCCGCACCGGGCGTGAGAAAAATAGAGTACCACACCTCTGCAAGTCACACCTGCGCCGGGCGCGAGACTACCCTCGCAGGGCGTGATCGAGACAGAGAGTAACTCAAACTCTCTAGAAAGAATTGCGCCGGGCGTAAAAGGAATTGCGTCGGGCGTGTCTTGAGGCAGAGAGTACTTGACTTCCCTGGAAGGCCCTGTGCCGGGCCCAAAGACTAATGCACCGGGCGTGAAACCCTAATCTGACTCCCCAAGCTCGTATTTGAAGAAATCTTCGAGGCTTTTCACCTCATTTGCACATTGGACGCATTTTAGAAGCTGAGGAAGGGATTCTCGGAGCTTGGGACCGTTTGTGTGTGGGTCTTTCCTTCGGTTCTTCAATATATACATGTTGTTTTATTCATTGTTGTGTATGTTTCTATTCTTAATGCTTGCTTTGGATTGATTCTCCTTGCATGATATAGGTTCCATTGGGTATTGGAAAATAACCTTTGAAACTAGCTCTGAAACAAATGCCTAGTGGGAAATGTATCTAGGAATGTAGCTTGGCCCATTAGTAGTCTTAAACCCTAACCTGTAATACGGGTGTAGGTAGTGGATACTCAAGGAATTGATATTCATTATCCGCACCTAGGCTCTTGCTCTAAGGGATTAGGTTTGAGTAAACTTATGGGTTGACTAAGCAATGGATATAATAAGAGATTAAGGATTCATTAGTGTGACGTTTGGTAATATCTAACCCCACAATTTCACAAAATCATAATACCATTTCTACCCCTTTTCCACACACAAACCAATATTTTTATAGTTAGCAGTCCAATAGTCATACTCTTCAATTCACATTTACATGACAAACTACAAAATTGGAATTATTCTTTAGTCACGAATAGTCAATAAATACTTATTTTACCTACTAATCCCTGTGGATACGATAATTTTACTACTTGAACGGCCGGTATACTTGCCGTGTTTGAGATCGTTGATAGAACAAAAGTGATTTAAAGTGATAATAAAAGTAGTTCAACGGAAATCTCAACAAGTTTTTGGCACCGTTGCCGGGGATTAGCAATGCAATTTAGTATTTATAGCTATTTGTGACTTGTTCCTTTACTTTTATAGTTAATTTCTATTTTAGCAAATGAATTCTTTGGGCTGACTTGTGCACTCTAGTCTTTTGTTTTCTCTTGTATGCAAGGTACTATTCAAACCAGAGGTACTACTTCTTCTGAGCCACTGCTGAACGATCCTGAGATTGAACGCACGGTAAGGAGGAATAATAGTAACCGGAGGAGAAGGAGGACTAGAGCAAATCCAGTTGGCCAACCAACCACTCAGATTCCTGAAGTTTTTGTCTCTGATATTCCTAAGTTCACTATGGAAGGTGAAGGTGACGCTCACAATGAAAATCCAAACCGGAGGCGCACTATAGGTGATGCTTTCACCTACACTAGCCCAAGGGAATTCTCTAGCATTGTGAGGCCTACAATGAATGACAGACTAGCAAAAATGAAGCCTGCACTCCTATAGCTTATCAGCTCTCATCAGTTTTCTGGCCTGGATCATGAAGACCCACATACTCATCTCTACACTTTCTATGAGTTGTGTGGTTCAGTTGGAGTTTCAGGGGTTGATGAAGAGGCACTGTTCATGAGGTTGTTTCCATTTTATCTGAATGGGAAGGCTAAGGCTTGGCTTCATTCTCAGCCAAACCAAAGCCTGACCACTTGGAGGGATGTGGAGACTAAATTCTTAGCCAGGTTCTTTCCCCCGTCCAAGAACACTGAGGCTAGAACTGCTATTGCTACTTTTGCTCAAGGTGCGGATGAGCCATTATGTGAAGCATGGGAGTGGTACAAATCACTGTTGAGGAGGAGCCCTAATCATGGTTTTGAGGTGGAACTGCAAGTTCAAACTTTCTGTAATGGGTTACAACCTCAAACCAAGATGATACTGGATGCTTCTTTTGGAGGGTCAGTTATGTTCAGAACCGCGGAAGAGGTTATCACCATCATTGAGTCCATGGCCTCCACAGATTTTAGGAGCCAACTGTGACACCCTTACTACCCCAACATATATATTGTAATAATAAAAACTTATAAATAAATTTTTCAATTTCGGTAAAAGGGCTCACATGAGAATCTTAAAAATTATCCTTCAATAACCACAAAAACAAAAATGAAACGCAAGAGTTTTCAAATTATTTTCAAAAATAACATTTACAATAAAAACCTATGTTCTAAAAAAATCTTTTGCCCCGATGTCACAATATCAGAGCATCCCGACAATTCAACTGTTGGCATTCTAGATACCACTCGTAGCCAGATCTCCCTCACCTAAAATATCCACAAATCGCACGGTGAGAAAAGAAAACATCTATATATATAGCACATAAGAAAACACAATATATTATTTAATATTCGTAAATATTTCAACATATCGTATTTCAATCAATCATGCATTGTCATCACGTCATAATTCTCAATCACACCAATCATCACAAATCTTGCACTTCACACTATGCCAAGGTCACGCTACCCATTTAACAATCTCAGGTCGTGCTCACCCCTGATATAACATTGTGCCAAGGTCACGTTATCCCTATCCTAGGGCCGTGCTCACCCCTGACATGTTAACCAAGGTCACGATACTCACGTAACAATCCAGAGCCGTGCTCACCCCTGATATAACACTGTGCCAAGGTCACGTTATCCCTATCCCAGGGCCGTGCTCACCCCTGACATGTTAACCAAGGTCACGATACTCACGTAACAATCTCGGGCCGTGCTCACCCCTGGTCATAGGTGTGAAGAACCACAATCACATCTCATTCACATTCCACACAACATCTCATAATTCAATTCCATACGCACATCTCAAGCAATTCACATCTAAGTCATCAATTTTTATCAAGTAATATAGCAATAATATTCATAAATTAATATAATAATCAATTTTAATACAATCTTAACATAAACGATAAAATTCCCAATTATTCCAAAACCTAACTCACAGGCACTTTTCTACAGTTTCGTTCTTCCTCTCAGGTCATCATTCTTACAAATTAAATATGTATTTCTAATCCTCAACACATACAGAATCTAATGGGATCATTAATTTCTCAAACAGAAATATTCTAATTTTTCCAAAACTTAGCTTACAGGCACTTTTCTATAATTTCGTTCTCTCTCCCAGATCATCATTCTTACAAATTATTGGCATATTTATAACCCTCATCACATACAGAATCTAATGGGATCATCCATTCCTCAAACAGAAATCATCCAACTTTTCACAACCTAACTTACAGACACTTTTCTATAATTTCGTTTTCTCTCCCAGAGCATCATTTTTACCAATTAATCATATATCCATGTTCCTAAATACATACATAATCAAATAAGACCAATAATTCTTCAAACAGAAATAATTATAAAATTAGGGTTCTTCCTCTACCCAATTTCCTAATGTAACTCTACATATAAATAATTTCCTTTTCCCCCGCACCTGGATAAGAAGAAGCTGAATCTAGATATGTAGAAGCTGAATCTACCCTTGATCTGGTTGACCTCCCTCGCTGGGTCCCCCTCGGCCTGAAGCAGAAAGTAGAGGAAAGTAGAGAGAGAGCAGAAGAAAAGAAATCAGAAATGAGAGGTGTGCTTTTTGGGAGTGGCAAACAACACTATATATAGGCATTATGCGCCGGAACGGCCCGTTCCAAATCTGGAACGGCCCATTCTGGACCCTTAAACCATGGCTAAAAATCACATCCAGAACGGCCCGTTCCAAAACCAGAACGGCCCGTTCTAGTGTGCATTAATTACACCCAACGACCATAATTTTGGGAACGCCTCGTTCCAAGCCCATTCATATTTAGGGTTAATGGCATATTTAATAGTCCGGAACGGCCCGTTCCATCTTGAGAACGGCCTGTTCTGGGCTATTAACTCACATTCAATTTGGTAGTTTGGAACGGCCCGTTCCAATTCCGGAACAGCCCGTTCCAAGCTACTAAATCACCCCTATCTCTTTTATAAAATTACCAAAATACCCTTAATTAAAATAAATAATTAAAAAGTGAAATAAAAACTGGGGTGTTACACCAACATGGTAGAAGCTCTTCACACAAGAGGGGAGTTTTGGAGTTGAGTACTCAAGATGCAATGTTAGCTCAAAACAAGATACTCTCCCAACAAATTGAAGCTTTGAATCAATAGATGGCCAAGCTACCTCAACAACTTCAAGCTATGCAAACTAATGCCCCTCCTATGCAACAAGTTTTATCGTGTGATTTTTGTGGAGGTGACCACCCTAATGGTTATTGTGCCGAATCATCTAATTCCCAAGGTGAAGAAGTGAATTATATGGGAAAGCAAGGGCGGCAAAATTTCTCTCAACACCCGTATCTGCAAAATTCAAATCAGGGGTGGAGAAATAACTATGGTGGAAACAAACAAGATATGAATGCTTCATCAAGTAGCAAGCCTCCACATCAACACCAACACCCATCTTTATATGAGAGAACCACCAAGTTGGAAGACACACTGCAAAAATTCATGCAATTGTCTATGTCCAACCAAAAGAACATTGATGCTTCAATTAAAAATCTGGAGATACAAGTGGGGCAAATAGCAAAGCAGCTAGCAGAGCAGCAAAAAGGTTCTTTCTCAGCCAACACCGAGCAAAGCCCGAAGGGGCACTTGAATGTAGTATCTACAAGGAGTGGTCGGGAATTTGTGGTGAAGGAGAGTGAGAAGAAGAATGAGAGCGAAGAAAAAAATGACATGGGTGTAGAAGATGATGCTAGTGTTGATGAGGAGATCATCTTAGAGGGCCCAAGAGTATGGAGAAGGAGTGAAGGAAGTGAGTCGGTTGAAGGAAATAAAATGAAAAATGAAAATGACAAAAAGAGTGAGAAAGAGAAAGAAATTGAAAAAGAAAAAGAAGGAGTTAGTAGAGAGAAAAAGAAAACATCCATGGAGGATGGGAGTATTGTGAAGGTGCCACCCACCAAGAGCTTACCATATCCTCATGCACCTTCAAGAAGAGATAAGGAGAGGTAATATGCTCGGTTCTTAGAGATTTTCAAGACCTTGCAGATTAACATTTCGTTCTCCGAGGCATTAGAACAAATTCCTACCTTTGCCAAGTTCATGAAGGAGCTCCTCACCAAAAAGAGGAATACTTTGAAGAGGAGACCATTACATTGGAGGCGGGGTGTAGTGCTATTATTCAGAAGATGTTGCCAACTAAATCCAAGGACCCTGGTAGTTTCACTCTTCCGGTCACTATTGGAAGTTTAGCTATCGGGAAGGCTTTACTTGATTTAGGGGCTAGCATCAATCTTATGCCCTTATCTATGCTTCAGAGGATTGGTGATTTGGAGGTGAAGCCCACTCGCATGACTTTGTAGTTGGCTGATCGATCTGTAAAGTATCCTCATGGCGTAGGGAGGATGTTCTGGTGAAGGTGGACCGTTTCTTGTTTCCCGTTGATTTTGTGGTGATGGAAATAGATGAGGACATTGATGTACCTCTCATTCTTGGTCGACCATTCATGAAGACTGCAAGAGTTCTAATTGATATGGATGATGGGAAGCTTAAGGTGAGGGTGAATGATGAGGAAGTCAACTTTGATGTTTTTGATGACATGCACTACCCCAAGGACAAGAGCAGTTGCTTCCGAGTCGATGTGATTGATGGCCTTATTGAAGATACTAGGAAGCATGTCTCTTTTTCCACTCCTTTGGAGAAAGTCTTAATCAATGCGGTTGAATACCTCCATGAAGAAGAAGATAGAGAGACTGAGGCATGTCTGAAGAGCCTTGACTCATATAAGGAGGTAACACCTAATTCGGTGCATATAGAAGATTTGAATGAGGAAGGGGAGGTGAATACCCCTAAGCTTGAGTTGAAAATACTTCCCTCTCATCTCAAGTATGTGTTTGTAGAAGAAGGTGGAAGCAAACCGGTCATCATAAGTAGTTCCTTATCCACATTGGAAGAGGAGAAGCTTGTGAGAGTATTGAAGTTCTATCAAGGGGCAATTGGTTGGTCTATTTCTGATCTCAATGGAATTAGCCCAGCTTATTGCATGTATAAGATATTTATGGAGGATGAGTTCAAACTGGTTGCTCAACCACAGAGGAGGCTTAATCCTGTGATGAAGGAGGTGGTGAAGAAGGAAGTGATAAAGTCGTTGGATGCCGGTATGATCTACCCCATTTCTGATAGTGCATGGGTGAGCCCTGTACAAGTGGTTCCAAAGAAGGGTGGCATGTCGGTGATTCAAAATGAGAAGAATGAGTTGATTCCTTCTCGAACGGTCATGGGGTGGAGAATGTGCATTGATTATCAAAAGCTCAACAAAGCTACAAGGAAGAATCATTTTCCACTCCCATTCATGGATCAGATGCTTGAGAGATTAGCTAGCCAAGCTTATTATTGCTTTCTTGATGGGTATTCAGGCTACAACCAGATTATGGTTGATCTGGAAGATCAAGAGAAGACCGTTTTCACATATCTTTTTGGTGTCTTTGCTTATCGGAAGATTCCATTTGGACTGTGCAATGCTCTTACAACATTTCAGAGATGCATGCTAGTTATATTCTCCGACCTAGTGGAGAAGAGCATTGAGGTTTTCATGGACGATTTCTCTGTGTTTGGGTCTTCATTTGATGAGTGCCTAGCCAATCTTGAAGTGGTGCTTTGAAGATGCTTGGAGACCAACCTTATCCTCAACTGGGAAAAATGCCATTTCATGGTGACCGAGGGGATAGTCTTGGGGAACAAGATCTCTCACAAGGGCATTGAAGTTGAGCCTGCCAAAGTGGAGGTAATAGAAAAAATCCCTCCACCCATCAATGTCAAAGGTATTAGGAGTTTCTTGGGGCATGCTGGCTTTTATAGGAGATTTATTAAGGACTTTTCAATGATAGCCAGACCCCTAAGTAATCTCCTAAACAAAGATACTCCTTTCTGTTTTAATGATTCTTGTCTGAAAGCTTTTGAAGCTTTAAAGGCTAGACTTACCTCTGCACCCATAATCACTGCACCAAACTGGAAACTTGATTTTGAACTCACGTGTGATGCTAGTGATTATGCGGTTGGGGCAGTCTTAGGCCAAAGGAGGGCTAAAACTTTTCATGCTATTCACTATGCTAGCAAGGTTTTAAATGAGGCACAAATTAATTATGCCACTACTGAAAAAGAGTTGCTAGCCATAGTGTTTGCATTGGAAAAGTTTCGGTCCTATTTGATTGGTTCCAAAGTGGTTGTGTTCACAGATCATGCAGCCATTAAGTATTTACTCACCAAGCCGGATTCCAAGCCAAGACTCATAAGGTGGATCTTCTGCTTCAAGAATTTGATTTGGAGATCAAAGACAAGAGTGGCAAGGAAAATCTGGTTGCGGACCACCTCTCAAGGCTTATTAATGATGAGGTGACCATGAAGGAGAGGGAGATCCTGGAGGAGTTCCCTGATGAAAAACTGCTTATGGTGCAAGAGCGGCCTTGGTTTGCTGTCTTAGCAAACTTCAAGGCAGCTGGAGTTATACCTGAAGATTTCACATGGCACCAGAAGAAGAAGTTCCTCCGTGATGCTACCTATTACGTGTGGGATGATCCTCACTTATTCAAGATTGGTTCAGACGGCCTATTGAGGAGGTGTGTTTCAAGAGAGGAGGCCAAGAGTATTCTGTGGCATTGTCACAATTCTCCTTATGGAGGTCATTTCAACAGAGAGAGGACAGCTGCCAAAGTGCTTCAATCTGGTTTTTACTGGCCAACACTCTTCAAAGATGCCCACAGTCATGCCAAGCAGTGTGGCAGTTGTCAGAGGGCCGGGGGAATCACAAGGAAGCATGAGATGCCCTTACAGAACATGGAGGAAGTTGAGGTGTTCGATTTCTGGGGCATATACTTTGTTGGACCACTACCTTCTTCCTTCACAAATGAGTACATTCTTATGGCATTGGACTATGTCTCAAAATGGGTTGAAGCCATTGCTACACCCAAGGCAGATGGCAAAACAGTGGTGAAGTTCCTCAAGAAGCACATTTTCAGCAGATTTGGCACCCCTAGGGTACTTATCAGTGATGGAGGTTCACACTTCTGCAATGCTCAGTTGGAGAGGGCTCTAGAACACTATGGAGTCCATCATAAGGTTGCTACCGCCTATCACCCTCAAACAAATGGTCAAGCTGAGGTTTCTAACAGGGAGATCAAGAGGATTTTTGGAGAAAACTGTGTCTTCTTCACGGAAGGATTGGTCTACAAAGCTTGATGAAGCTCTATGGGCTTATAGAACCGCCTTCAAGTCTCCAATTGGTCTCACTCCATTTCAATTGGTGTATGGGAAAGCTTGCCATCTTCCTGTAGAATTGGAGCACAAAGCTTATTGGGCTTTGAAGCTGTTGAATTTTGATCCTCTCAGTACTGGTGAGAAGAGGAAATTGGAGCTGCATGCTCTTGATGAATTGAGGCTCCAAGCCTATGAATCATCCAAGCTTTACAAGGAAAAAGTCAAGAACTATCATGATAAGAAGATTCTGAAGAGAGAGTTCAGGGCAGGCCAGTCGGTGCTACTATTCAATTCCAGGCTCAAACTCTTCCCTGGAAAACTAAGATTAAAGTGGTCTGGTCCCTTCAGAGTCAAGGAGGTGAAACCCTATGGTGCCATAGAAATTGAAGATCCTAAGGCACAAAGAAGCTGGGTTGTGAATGGACAGCGGTTGAAACCCTACTTGGGTGGAGAAGTCGATAGACTCTGCTGTATCTTTTCTTTCAGAGACCCTTGAGGTCTCTTCTAGTCAGGATCGGGACAGTAAACAAGCGCTTCCTGGGAGCCAACCCAGGGATCTAAACTTTGTTTTATGTGTGTTTCAGTTAATTTGTGTTTTTAGCTTTGATTGTTAATGTGTGTTATAATTGTATTTGTGATGTGAATCGTGATTGTTTGTGTTGTATGCAATTGTGTGAATCATGCTTGAGTGGGTAGATATAGGTTAGATCTTGTTTAGGAGTGTGAGGAGTGAAAAATTCAGGTGAAACCTGCATAGAGCTGACCACGCCGGGCGTTACATGACCCCGCCGGGCACAATAGGTGGTGGAAACTCTCTACAAAGATCCACGCCCAGCATTCAATAGAGCCCCTGGAACGACCACGCCGGGCGCATTTATTGGCACGCCGGGCGCATTAAAAGCTAGAGGCTCCAGGGGGTAGCAAGCCCGACGCGCTCATAAATGCGCCCGGCGCATTAATCACTGGAAGGTCTCTGCCTTAAATACATCGGGCGCGTATCTGTCAAGCCCGGCGTATTAAATGCTTGCACGTTTTTACCCTAAACACGCCCGACATGACGCGGCAACGCCCGACGCGATACCAGATAAGGGCACCCCTTGGACTTCTTCTGATATGGCGCCCGATGCATGAATTGTGCGCCCGGCACGTCGTTTCAGATGCCCTTCAGCCACTCTCCCACGTTCCCCACTCTCATTCCCCACTCTCATTCCCCACTCTTCATCTCCCACTTCTCCCTTATTCTCTCAACTCCCCACACTCACGCCCACTCTCCCTCTCAACTCCCCCAACTCCTCATCTCCCACACACTCTCAACTCTCCCTCATCTCTCCTCTCTCAATCTCCTTCAACCCCTCTCAACTCAACACTCCTCTCATCTCCCAAACGTTTCTCAACTCCCTCCGCCTCTCACGTTCACCCTCTCTTTTCTCGACGTTTCTCCTCCTCAAAGGTCCACCAGGGCACGCGCCTGCCTTTCGTTCTCCTCCCCTCCAAGAACTATACACTCAAGTAGGTTTTTGTTTTTGTTTTTGTTGATTTTCATTTCCAAGCATCCCTTTATCTTCTTTTCTTTGATTTTGGTGTTAAAACTGTGGCCTAAGGCCTACATTGGGGTTTTGGAACCAAAAAGATGGCATTTTTAACGCCCCTGTATGCACTCGTGTCAGGCGTGACTGTAGACCCCTAAAATTGTCCGGGTCGGAAAT